GAACTACAGACCTTTCGGTTTGCAGCCCAGCATTTTAACCTCTGAGCCACTGCGGCCCCTATCTCAGCCTGTAACTGATTGTAAAAATCAATTAAGATTACTCGTGACCATCTTCCAACAAATTGTATAAAGTCATTTTGGAAAGAGAAATATTGAGGCTGTTGTGCCACTGAGATTCTAACAATATTATCTTCAAAATAATCCCACCTAGCTATGTAATAGCCAGTTCCAAACATTCTCTCTTTTTATTGCTCTTTTTATTCCTCTACAGTGTCATGTGGAATATGCCAAACAACAAAAGGCAAGACAATGGTTGCAGGGACTAGAAACTACCTAGAATACCCAAAACATGAAAACTGGCTTTGGGATTGGAAGGAAGAGGCCGTCCTGTTGGAGTGGAGCAAGAAACATTCTCTCTGTGGCAAGTTGTAGTCATTGCTTGGTGAGTTTGGTGCAGTACTGGGTATATAAAAAGATGGGGTTTTGCCTTTTCTATGATAATGGCTTTAAGGACAGATGAAAACAAGGACTAGGCTGCTTCTCTGTAATGTATTCAGTCCCGACCGCGTGGAAAACAGGGTTTCCACGCGGTCCCGCTAAACCTCCGAGCTTCGCTCCAGCGAACAATGGACTAAGCGGATCCTAGCCCACACCAATCCGAGGGCTAGGCTCCCGGCCGAGAGCTCATGGAACTCTTGGCCACTGTAAATAGCTTATTACGGTGTGGGGGTGTATTTTGGGGTGTGGTTTTCACGGAATATAAGCCGGCCTGCGAGCCGGCTAAAGTTGTCTTGTTCTGCACTAATAAAAGTATGAGAGCTGTAATCACTCGTCAGTCTCAGTACTTTTCATTCTCCATGCAAGAAAAAAGGATAGAAAAAAGGACAGGCAAAAAAGGACTTGGCTTCTTCTCCATACACGCTTCTGCCCTAGGCTCACCAGGATAGAGAAGGAGCAGTTGTGGTGGTGAATTAATTGGAAAAGAGGTTAGAAAAAAGGAGGAAGTAAAAAGAGAAGAGCAATGAAGCATAAAAGACAGAATCCCCCAATGTTTAAAAACAGCCTCCTCGGTAGGCTTGACAGTGCCCAGGTGGGAGTGGGGGATTCCCCTACTTTTGTGGGTTCTGGCCTGCCACCGGCCAGCTGGCTTGCAGGGAAAACCCCACCCCCAAACAGACATCTCGATGTGACGTCACTGACATACTGACATCAGTTCCGGAAGTGACACCATTGCAATGGTGACGCTCTACTTTTTGAACAAAACCTCTTTGTAGCCATTTTTATCACGGGGTTTTGCCCAAAAAGTAGAACATCACCCCAACTTCACCAATGCAATGATGTCACTTCTGGAAGTGACATCAGCACATCGGCGACATCCCTGCCCACACCCAGAATGCCCCCCAAATCCCCCCCGCCAGCAGGAGGAAGGTACCTGGCAACCCTACTCCCCAGGGGTGCCAACTGCCCACCACCACCACTGCCTGCTGCCACTCAGGTGGTGGGAATAAAATGGAAGACAAAATTGGAGGCACATGACCTAGAAGTGACATCATCATGTTTGGTGACACTCTAGCATAGAGGCGTCGAAATCAATTGTTACAATATGTCGCTTTGTTGGTCTGGACCACGTGTGCCATAAACGTAATGCCAGGTAATGGAGATATAAACTGTATAAAGGACAGCAGCTGGTAAGCTCTGAGTTGGTGTATCCTCACTAAAAGGCCCCATGGGCTGGGAGGGAGGTACAAACAAATACCCATATAGGCGGACTGGAGAGCCAGCAGTGCTGCACTGGACAGACACTCCCACTGCATATGAGGTTGTTCTGCCATTGTTGTTGTTGTTGTTATTATTATTATTATTATTCCCCTGTACAAGTATGCCCCTGGAAAAGCATTGTGCTCAGGAAATAAAAACTTCCTGGTGGTCCCCGGCCCAAGAGAAGCCTGGCTGTCCTTGACCAGGGCCAGGGCTTTTTCAGTCCTGGCCCCTGCCTGGTGGAACACTCTGCCAGACGACAGCCACGCCCTGCGGGACCTGTTACCTTTCCGCAGGGCATGCAAGGCAGAGATGTTCTACCCGGCCTTCAGCTGAGGACAGCGACAGGGCTTCTTTAGCACCTTTATATAATTTCTCCATCCCTCAAAACCCTCCCCCCAGGCAGGTGGGGGGAGTGGGATTTATTTCCCCCCATCTTATATACTGAAGGTAATGTGTTTTTATTTACTGGAAACTGCTGGATTATTTTAATTCTATTTTAAATTGAGAGCTGTATATTATTTTGTTGTGAGTGTCCCTGAAACCACTCCGGGGAAGGGCGGCCTAGTAAGTCTAATGTTATAATAATAATAACAACAATAATGATAATAATGATAATAATGATAATAATGATAATAATGATAATGATGATAATGATGATAATGATGATAATAATTTCAATTTATGAATCGCCCATCTCTGTAAAAGATGGCTCTGGGCCATATACATAAATAATAAAACAACAGATACAATCATACAACAATCTAATGTACAGTTCAGCATGTAATTAAAAACATAACATCCAAGATGGTGTCCTACTAAATCTTGTTCCCATACTGGAGTGCACTGCTGCCCCACGGGCAAGGCAGGAGGAGGGAGACAGATGAAAAAAAGAGAAACAGGGAGGGTGCCAGAGATGGTCATACCATTGCTGTTATCAACCAAAAGCTCAGTGGAATATCACTGCCTTACAGGCCCCATGGAATTGCATTAAATTCTCTAGGGCCCTGATGGTATTTGGCAGAGAGTTCCACCAGGTTCGAGCCAGGACTGAGAAGGCTTTAGTTGATGACAGCTGGACATCTTTGGGGCCAGGGATCACCAGCAGATTATTCTCTGCTGATTAGAGTGCTCTTCTGGGGTCATAACGGAGGAGATGGTCCCAAAGCTGAAGCCACAATTGGAGTGGCTCTGTCCACTCCTCCCCCCAAGCAGTTTCTTGTTCCCTGCCGTGTACAGGTTGCTCACAGGCCGCATAAGAGCCCTGGATGGGCCAGTTCTGGCCCCCAAGCCTTACATTTGACAACCCTACTCTAGCATTTGTCCAAAACTTCATTGGGAACATCACCTTGAATAATCCAAGTTTGCTGATTCTTTTGCAAAATTAAATTGGGCAGTTCCACTTTTGTTAACAGGATCAGCATTGACTGGCTGTAGTCCTGATGGTTTATTAAAGTATAAATACAATATGAAGGAAGCAGTCAAATGTTGTTGCTATTCATGAAAATCTCAAAGAACTTCTGATTGTGAGATAATATGAGGGTTAATATACACATTCATTTTGGAGGGAACAAAAATTCCACCACAAACTGAGAAATATCTATTTCATACTTTCGTAATTAATTCCCCTCAACCTCATTGCCTAGATAAGTAAAATACAAGAATGGAAAAGTTATGATTAATTTTTGGTAAAGTATTACATGTTGTTATGTCTCTGGGTAGAAGAATTAATGGGATTTTTACCTTGCTGTTGAAAAAAAATGATAAGCTTAACCAGCGGTGTGTTTGTTTGTTTTTAAATGCCAGTACTCATAGATAAGAACGCACCAATTCCACCAATTTCCTCCTCAGGACTTGGGAGAGCCCCTCCAAAAAGTGTTGATACTGGTGAGTAATGTCACAAAAATGCCCTGGGCTTAATCCATATTTAATTATGGCTCTCCTGCATTCACACATTTGTCAAAAAGATATAATTGTTTCAGTTAGTCTGGTAATCTCATCAGTTGGGGATCACTGTTTGAAAGGAGGAAATATATTCGATGAAGATGGCATTGGCTTATATCTGGGTTGAGTGAAGGATCTGGATGCCAGAAGTAATTGGCTGTGTAATATGAACACAGCCAATTACTTATGTCAACAATATGCCCAAAACAGTACTTACAGGAGAGTTTGGGGGAAAGTGCAGAATGGCTAATGACCCTGGGTGTGTGCAATTCACATCACACCCAGGAAGTGATACAAAATGCTGGATTTTGAGGAGTAGTTAGTACCAGTCCACTGGCGATCTCTCAGAATGACAACTGATCTCCAGGTTACAGAAGACTGTATGGCATGATGCACCAATGATGTCCTTCCCCTCTCCTAACCTCCCCAGGCTCCACCCCTAAATCTCCTGGAAATTTCCAACCCAGAGCTTGCACCTCTACTTTCCACTTACCTATCTGTCATAAATTGGACTCACAGAAAGGGTTTAATCATACAAAGCAGCTCTCACAAGATTCAGGCTTTGGGAGTTATCTTTTTTAAGCCTTTGGCTTTATCAAATAAAACTAGGTGTAACTCAGATCACAAATCACAGATCACTAGGAAGGGGCCCATATTTCCATGTAAACAAATCTTAAGCTACTAAACATACACCAGCACTGAGAAAGCATATGGTATTGTTCCAAAAATAAGCTTACCAATATTCTTTCTAATGATGCCCTCATACCAAACTTAAAAGGTGATCATAATTTTGTGTGCCTAACTGTGGATATGGAAAAAGAGAGGAAAAGGAAAATAGAGTATAGGATTGGGAGTTTATTATGAAACAAAGTCATGCAGGTCTTATTACACCTGACACAGCAGAGAAGAACACCACAGATCTACTCTCTTCCATTCTTCCTTATTGTATGTAAACTGTTACAGAATTATAGACCTCGTTGAAGATGAAGTGGTCTGCTGAAAACAGAAAGAGATTATAGAATGAGAAAAAGACTGATGGATACCCAAATTACTTACTTTGGGTTTCCAGTGCCTGGCTTCTTCCTCCGGAATATGCTGAGGAAAGTGTTCGACCTACAAGGTGTCTTGCCATCCCCGACATGCATACGCACCACATCAGAAGTGGTGAAGGCACTACGGACATTCCTTTCAGGTTTGGCAATGATGATGTACATCTTGGGAGTGAACATGCACCCCAAGGCTACTGTCACACTCAGGCTCACCGCAAAGCAAGTAGTTATGATCTCGTAGTTGCTCCCAAAGTAAATAGGCACAAAGGCCAGCCAGATAATACAAGTAGTGTACATAGTGAAGGCAATGTACTTGGCTTCATTGAAATTTGCGGGTACGTTGCGAGTTTTGAAGGCATAGTAAGTGCAACTCATGATAAGCAGTCCATTGTAGCCCACCGGAGCGACCACACCTAAGTTGCTGGTGTTGCAGATCAGGAAGACTTCCTTGATGCTAGGGTAGGAAAGGATTGGCATAGGAGGTTCCATGATGATCAGGGTAATTACCAATGTTAGCTGTACACTGATCAAAATGGAGGCAATGACCACTTGAGCCCAAGCACTCATGAAACGTGGTTTACGGGTACAGATTTTTTTCTTGCTCCCTGCCAGAATGCGTGCAATGCGGTTGGTTTTGGTTACAAGGGCAGAGTAACACATGGCAGAGGAAAGCCCCACAAGGAGGCGTTGGAGGTAGCATGAAGTGACAGTGGGTTTAGCTATAAGGGTAAAGGGGCAGATATAGCCAAGGAATATCCCAGCAAGGATAATGTAGCAGAGCTCCCGGCTTGATGATTTGACAACAGGGGTGTCCCTGTAGAGTGCAAAGATCAGTGTAACAAACATGGTGACCAGGATGCCCAGGCAGGAGAAGACCACAGCCACAATAGACTCTATATCACTCCACTGAAGATATTTTACAGGAATTGGTTCACAGCCTGCAGGACATAGAAAATAAATATATATAAAAATTAGGTTAACAGCTTTTCCACCGCCTACAACATTATTGTATAGGATTGCTGTACACTTGGTAATTCACACATTTTGAATGCCTAAATTACTGAATGTTCAAAGCAGCAGGCACAGAGTCTAGCTAGGGTTTTTAAAGGGTTAGTCATGGACAGAATGTATCTCAGATTGGGGATAGTTCGAAGAACTGCCTAAACCACATACTCCAGGTAGATAACTTCTTATCCTTCAGTTTCTGACATCTAGTACTCCCAAAACCTTTGCCACCCTTAGAATGACTGGATAACTTCCTGGATTTTATTTCGGAACTGATTAATTACATACATTTAAGAAATAGCAAAAAGGTTATATAGAAAGATGGGAACCATTTATTAATTTTTGGACAATGAAATTTTAATTAGATTCAGATGTTAGTAAATTATGGTTTAAGAGAGAAAATATATTTCTCATAAGAAGAAAAGAGCATAAGAGCTCGTTGGATCAGCCCAATAGCCCATCCAGTTCAGCGTCCTGTTTCTCTTGCTAACCAATCAGATACCCAGAAAGACCCACAAGCAGGGGCATAGCCTTCAGCTATCATTGACCCTCAGAAATTGGTATTCAGAAGTATTCTGCATCTGAACATGGGCAATTCCAAGGTATGAAATGCTGTATATTTTACTTCATGAAATGAAACAGTCAGCATTTAGTTTGGTAGATAGTAACTTTGTACGTTCTTTCCATTTCTGAGATATAATACTGAGAGAGAGACGTGCCAGGCAAGGAGGACATAAACTTCAGCTGTGATTCAATGTAGTTAAAAACAAAAATGAGGCAATATTAACCAATTCTTTTCTTTAAAAAAAATCACTATTGGAGTTATTATACTGTTTCTAGCAAATAAGTCTTTGTTGGCTAAAATGACATTTGATAACAGCATCAAAAAAGATTTGAACTAGAACAATGATATTCAGATTGTATGACATAGAATAATATACAGCAATACATCATATTTTGAATTTTTATATATCATAAATATTTTTGTACATAACAAGAATTTTATCAAAGCATACTTTTGATGCTTTGTTATTCTGCCTGGCAATATGTAACACTGTGTACCCAAGCCAGTATAATCATTTAAGGCTATGAGTATATGACCTCAAAAGTCAGAGAACTTTATCAGCTTTAAAGGTAACTGCACTTTACTGTCTTAGCATGTTCATTCTATGTGGCCAATGCCAGATGCTAGTACTGGCTAAAAAGTCATTGTTTCGGAAGCGTAGGCATCAATAGGTATATTGACATTGTGTATTTTCATTATATGTTCATGCTGAGCATAAGAAAAAGACAAATGAGCTGCCAAGAAAATTATGGGTTGGACATTTTCAATCATTGTTGTCACACACAGTTTTACTCCCTCACAATGTTCCAATAGATTCAATACTACTCTATTCAAGCATAAAGACACATGTGGTGATAACTGTTTGTAAGGTTTTGCTTGCTATTTTGGATTCTTAAAACATTTCTTAAGTTTTGGGAACAGACCAATATGTAATCATGACAGTGGATCTGAGCACCATCTTTATAAAGGAAAGTTGCCCTAAGACATTTCCTAAGAACACTTATCTTTTTCTAGGTGTATTAGGTATTTTGATCTGGTAAGTCAGATAAGAGATTTGAGGAGCAATCCTCAGCATGTCAGCTCAGAAATAAGTCCAATATTATTTAACAGGACCTGGTGATGGTAAGTGCTTTCAAGTATCAGGGTTTTCAAGGCATGAGACAAAGAGATGGTTTGTCACTGACTGCCTCTGCTAGTGACTCTGGACTCCCTTAGTGGTTGGTTTTCCATTCAAGTACTAACCAGTGTTGACCCTGCTTAGCTTCCAAGACTGGACTAGCCGGGGCCATCCAGATCAGGATTCAATAAGAATTATTTCCAGGAGAATACCCTTAGGACTGCAGCCTTGTTCTTGAATTCCTCATGCCAGGTATAAGAAACCTTTAGTCCAGGAGCTAAACCTTAACCTCCTTGTATATCCTGTAAGTTAAATGCTATTTGACTTGGTTCAAGAGATTCCACCAAGGAGTTCAAAAAGGCAGCTCAGACTCAAGACATGACTGAATGTATTTTGTAAGTTAGTCTGAGTTCTTTAGCTAATAAATGATTCCTGTCACCAGATTATGGTCAGAACATGTGAGGTTATTGTAATATATTATGAATGTAAGCCTAATAACTAGAAATATAATTCAAATGATATTTAGGGGATGGGTAACACATTCATATCTGCATGCTCCCTCTTCCCACACCAGCACAGCTCATAGGGAGAAAGTAACATTGTCCCCAAAGTCCTTACTGAGGAATTACTCACATATTGATGTTTGAGAGGGAGGGTGTTTTAGAAAGAAAAAAATAGAAAATCTAAATTGGTACACTTGGACTACCCTGAATCTACTGTGTTGCAGACTAGAGGGGGCTGAGCACACACTTATAGCTGGTCCCCAGAGGCAATTCTTTGGGTACCTGATGCCATCTTCTAGCTCCAGGTGCCTCACCAAGATGGCATGGCCCACTGTGACAAAGGCAGCTGATAAATCCAGTAGGAGCAACAAGGAGGCCTGGCCTTTGTCTATAATTAGACAGAGGTTGTAAACGAAAGCCAGCAGAGACATCTCCATCCCACAGCCTGGTCCGGAAAAAAACTGAAAAGGGTATCCAAGAAAATCTGGAGTAGGTCTGCTACTGCATTCTCAATCACGTTGCCAGGATGGGCAGATTAGAGAGACAGCAATAGTTGGGCACATCATTTTTTCTGCAGTGATGGTTTTAGTAGCAGATGGATAACCACCTCTCTGAGTGGCTGAGGGAAGGTACCCTGAGTTAATGATTGATTTCTAATAGATACTAAGAACTCAGTGATGTGGTCTTTACATGGTTTTAGAAGTCACGTTAGGCAAGGATCTAGGGAACAGGTAGTGGCCTTCATGGATCCCAGGAGTCTGTCAACATCTTTCATGGAAACTTGGTCAAGGTGGTGCATAAGTAGAATAGGTGGTCTATTAGGTATTTCTCCTGGTGAACCTATGTTGCAATAGGCACCTTTGCAAAAGTATCACAACTAATTGATTGTTCCTCATACAATTGAAGGCTCAGTTGTAGGTGTCAGCAGATGCCATTTTACCTTAAACGATTGAGATGGTTGATCCAGATGGTCAGCTGTGTTGGTGTGAAGCAGTAGAACAAATTTAGAGTCCATCCAACAGTATCAGAGAAGTAACGTTTCTTTGCCAACACTGCTGCTTCATAGGTGTTACATTGAGCTTTATAACGTCATCTGTCAGATTCAATACAAGTTCTCCCCCTACCTCAGTACAAATGATCTGGTCACCTGGATCCATGGTAACATAAGACTAGGCTCCTGTAATGCAGTCTATATACGTTTCCCCCTGAAAGTCAATCTGGAGACTTCAGTTGATGCTGCAGCTCAGTTAATATCAGGAACCAGACAGAGTATCAATATTATTCCGAATCTGCATTCACTCCATTGTTTGCCCATCAGTTACCGAGCTTAGTTTAAGGTATGGGCTAGCACATACGAAACCCTCCATGGCCTTGGTCCCTCATATCTATGGGATTGCCTCTCCCTCTACACTCTGCCATAACAGCATTGCTCATCTGAACATGGATTTCTACAGATGCCACACTGCAAATGAACAAAATGTACAAGTGCCCGTACATGTGCATTCTCTGTTCTGGCCCACAGTTTGTGGAATGGTCTGTTTGATGAGGTCAAGAAGGCTGCCCTCTTGAATTTTCACAACCTATGCAAAGCTGATTTATTCCCAGAAGGCTTTCTGTACAGGCAATATGGCTGCACTGTTATGATGTGACTCAGAGAAAGACATGGGGTGAAGGGTTAGGCGTTGTAGACTATACCACTGTGCATCATTTGGTGTAAGTGGGCTCCTACAATGTAGTGTTTGCTTTCGTTTAACATGTCATGTTAATCCTTATAGTGCACCTCACCTCTGGTTGATTTCCCAGATCTCTACAAGTCAAATGACTATTGCACTGGATGTCCAAATCTGTTGATTCTACTGATTTATTCTATGTAATCCACCTTGAGTTCCAGTGAGAAAGACAAACTAGGGTCCCGATCACACACAGAATTAGCTGCACGATAGGCATGAATGCTGGGCGGATTTTAAAGGCACGATCACACGGGAACATCTGGCAAGCGTCCTGCACCCATCGGCAACCCGTTTCGCTGCACCGAAGAAGTGGAGTAAAAAGACACCGGGGAAAGTCCAGTAGCAAATGGGTTGCTACGGGCCACAGATGGACTTTCCCCTGTGTGATCACTCCATAGTGCTCTCATGGCGTCAGGATGGTCTGATCAGGCCATCCTGACTTCGTGCCATTGTTTTCCCCCCTTCTCAGTATGCGCATCATCGCATACTGCCGTATGAAGCCCTAAGTGTGGAGATGCGATTCATTGATCCTCCGTTTAAGCAAATCGAAAACCCCCACCCAACTCACCCGCGATTGCGTCTAATCGTGCAGTGGCGGGCTATGCCCACAGCTTCAAAGAACTGTGTGATCACGCAACTGCGGGTCAATTTCCTCCAGAGTAAATAGCCTTGCTTCCCCCGCACATTATCTCACGCGTGTGACCGCGACTTATAAATAATGTAAGCAAACTGTTTTGTTTAGACTTTTACTCCTAGTCTCCCAGACACTATCATGTGGGTGCATCGTTTGTACTGTCTGTTGGTGTAAGTGGGCTCCTACAATGTAATGTTTGCTTTCGTTTAACATGTCATGTTAATAATTATAGTGCACCTCACCTCTGGTTGATTTCCCAGATCTCTACAAGTCAAATGACTATTGCACTGTCCTTTGGATGTCCAAATCTGTTGATTGTACTGATTTATTCTATGTAATCCACCTTGAGTTCCAGTGAGAAAGACAAACTAGGGTCCCGATCACACACAGAATTAGCTGCACGATAGGCATGAATGCTGGGCGGATTTTAAAGGCACGATCACACGGGAACATCTGGCAAGCGTCCTGCACCCATCGGCAACCCGTTTCGCTGCACCGAAGAAGTGGAGTAAAAAGACACCGGGGAAAGTCCAGTAGCAAATGGGTTGCTACGGGCCACAGACAGACTTTCCCCTGTGTGATCACTCCATAGTGCTCTCATGGCATCGGGATGGTCTGATCAGGCCATCCTGACTTTGTGCCATTGTTTTTTTTCCCTTCTCAGTATGCGCATCATCTGGCCAGGGTCCAGCCTACCTGAGGGACTGCCTTTCCCCATGTGTTTCCCCAAAAGCACTACGGTCGGGGGTCCAAAACTTGTTGGTCACCCCGGGCCCCAAGGACACCAAACTAGCTGCAACCAGGGCCAGGGCTTTTTCGGTGGTGGCTCCTACCTGGTGGAATGAGCTCCTGGGGGAGATCCGGGCCCTGTGGGACCTTATGCAGTTCCGCAGGCCCTGCAAGATGGAGCTCTTCCACCAGGCCTTTGAGTAGGAGCCGCCGCCCCACTATACCATCACCGTCACGGTTGACGAGGCCCTGAGGAAGAACCTGGAAATTGTAAAGAAGATCCTGTAAGCCGTCTCCATTGGGCACAAACATCATGGGAAGTACTATCTGGAACTGTGTTGATTCCATCTTTGGACTTATGATATCAGAAATTGACTGAGCACCATTGTTTTAAATGTTGGATGTTTTACCATGTATTATATGTTTTAAAGTTATTGTGTATAACATGTTTTAATTATGGCATGGTTATTACCTTGCCCTTGTTAGCCACCCTGAGCCCATTGGGGAGGGCGAGATACAAATGCGAAAAATAATAAGTAAATAAATAAATACTGCCGTATGAAGCCCTCAGTGTGGAGATGCGATTCATTGATCCTCCGTTTAAGCAAATCGAAAACAAACATAAAAAACCCCCACCCAGCTCACCCGCGATTGCGTCTAATCGTGCAGTGGCGGGCTATGCCCACAGCTTCAAAGAACTGTGTGATCACGCAACTGAGGGTCAATTTCCTCCAGAGTAAATAGCTTTGCTTCCCCCGCACATTATCTCACGCGTGTGACCGCGGCCTATAAATAACGTAAGCAAACTGTTTTGTTTAGACTTTTACTCCTAGTCTCCCAGACACTATCATGTGGGTGACATGCCCCGAGAGGGCCGTTAGAGATCCAGGAGGTTCTCTTGTAAGACCGTCTGCCATGTAGCTCCTGTCACACTCAGTCCATGAGCTCACTATCAGGAGTCTGCATGGCTGAGCCAGCTTGGGCTGATAAAATATATTTATGGGGAGAATAGGATTGTGGCATGGAGGACTAATTGGCTATATATAAAATTGAGACAGACCCTGAGAAGCCTAATTACCAAAGAATCTTGGTGATGCAATGACTACATAATTGCTAGCTCTGAGAGAATTGCGTGTGTGTGTGTGTGTGTGTGTTTTAATTTAGGAAGTTGCCATATGAACACACAGAACTATATAGGGCTATCTCTTGCTTATTGTCTCTTGTATATTTATTAATTTAAATTGTTACATTTCTTTGCACATAGGTGACTTTCCTATACACGATATGCTACTTAGAAGGACCCATAAGGGCAGTATTGGGATGAAAGCCAAAAAAGTTTAGCACTTTTAAATTCCATTGATTTCATTAGCAATGTCAGACACGTGCTACCATATTTTCCACTGAAATCAATGGGTTTTGGTTGGATTTTGTACTTTTCTGCAAAGACGGATGCTCTGTTAAGGAGGCATTCCTTGGTTTCGGCTATCACTTTGAACATATACACTTGACTGCTTCAAAAACTGGGTGGTTTGTAAGGTCACACTGGGAAGATAAAACAGTCCTGCAGCCATGCCAGTCAACTCCCAAACTTGTCATAGTCATCATGACCTGGGTCCAAACCAAACAGATCCTGTGGTACTGCCAGTACTGCGGGGACCTCTTGTCTCTGCTTGTTGTTGGACAACAGAGCCCCCCCCCCCTCTGAGCAGCAACCTGTCGGGAACTTGCCTGGGAAGTGAAGGACCAGACCCCCCCAGTGGTTTGCCAGTTTTCTCCTTAGCCTACCAAAGACAGGTGTGAAAGTACATATGCTGTCTGTTGCTCTGTACCTTGCACACAGCATTTCCATCTATGTCCCATCCACGCTTTTAATTAGGGGTTTTATCATTCCAGCTTTATAATAGCCTGCTCTGATCTGACATCTGTTTTATGGATAGTTTGATGCTATTCATGTCCATGGGTTTATTTTAATGGCTTGTTTTTTATATTTATGGGAGAGAAGGTGGCATGGTACAGCCCAATCTCATCAGATCGTGGAAGCTAAGCAGGGTCAATAATTGGATGGGAGACCACTGAGAAAGACTGTGCAGATGAAGGCAATGAAAAACCATCTCTGATTGTCATTTGTCTTGAAAGCTCCTTGCCGGGGTTGCCATAAGTTGGTTGCAACTTGACAGCACATAGGTATGTTTCATGATTTATTATTTTAATTGTAAGATGCCTCCAACCAGCTTCTGAAAGGGTGGCACAGGCATCTCATAAAGAAATAAATAAATGTGAAAACACTGAATTCTATGTATTCTTACTTGGAAGTAAAATCCACTTGATTCAGTGGAACTTCTGTCTGCATAAAGATGCATAGAATTGAGTTGCACAACTGCAATTGTGTGCATGCTGTATACACATAAGAGCAAGACCTGTTTTGTTCAGTAGAACTCTAGAAAAAATATCCCTAGCATCAAGTTTTAAGTGCCAGTTTGTGATGTAATGTTCCCTGTTAATACAAACAGACCATTTTTCTGCTTTCAGCTATAGTAAAGAAAATATATGCCTGTATTGCAATGCAAAACTGCTGGAACCACAGGTGAATTGGAAACTTAGGTGCATTTCATATTCACCCACATTGACATGGAAGCCACTTCTCACTGGTGTAATCCTGTGTGGTTGCAGAATATGGCTGTGGCCACATCAGTAGTTCGCACTGATATTGTAGTGGTATCTTTGTGGATTTAAAGAGCAGGATCAGACTACAACATTTGCCTTCTGTGTCTCAGTTGTTGGCACTTGGTTCTGGCCTGTCCTTGAAGTGGAGTAAATGGACGCTGGGGAAACTCTGGTCTTTAAATATGCCAATGTTTCCACTCTGCTTTTCTGGACGTCTGAACACCCGCCAGGAGCTGAAGCCAGACAGGAAGTCTGAACCATCAGATCTGTTTCTGCCAGGTTTTTTTTTTAGAAGCCCCTGATAACCGCATAAGCACATATGTGCATGTGCCCACCTGTATTTTTAAAATATTAACTGGAAAGCATGCTCTGTGGTTGAGGTGTTGCAGTAATGTGGATGCCTCACCACCGAACGAGTGTGCAGGAAAACTGCCTCAGGGTGTGCAGTCTGGTCGGACCTTCCTGCAACAATTTAAACTGGTGCACTTAGAGGTGCACCCAAACTGTGACAAACTTCCAGTGTGACCGCAGCCTATGTGTGAATCCCAGAAGCATGTCAGTGGAGCTGGCTGTGCCTAACCAAGTGGGACAACAATGATTGACCAAGAGAGACCCACACGATGCCACCTATTTTGTCCTGGTACCTACATGCAGATCCAAATTTTCAACCAAGAACAGAAATCTAAAAGATGCCCAAAGGTTTATCAAGCAATACAGGTAAATAGAATATTTTGAGTGAATCACTCTGATGCTTTACTTTCTCATACTGTAAAACAAATATTGGTGTGCACAGGGAATTTGCTTTAATCTCTCTATTCCAGGACTAGTGAGAAATTATTACAGAAAATAATTGTCCTCACCTGTCAGGTCAACATTAGGCCACCATCCCAGTTCACAAGCCTTACATGTGAACTCGTCCTGAACAAATTCGTTCTCCTTGCAAGCCGTGCAAATCCAGCAGCAACTCACTTCCCCCTTCCTTATAACCTACAAGACATTTTTTAAAAAATAAATGAGAATCGTCAGAGTGCATATCTGTATAGTACTATTATACGAAGAACCACAAACATAGTCTCAGCTAATGTTAACAATGGGTGACTGTTGAAACCTGTATTCCTGACACAGTTCATTTGGGCTACAACGAGTTCTTAAAAGTAAAAGTTTTCAAAGCATTTCCAAAACAATTTCCCCCCTGAACTGAAAATGAATACAATAAAAGTTAATTGGCACTTAGTTAACAGGAAAGCTCAGTTAACTGGTATGCTGGGTTCTGTTCTACTTGTTGGGCGGCAGCCACGTAAAAGCTTTGATAACTGGCATATTTGATTCACTAGGACCTCCAGTCCCGATAGATAGGGTTAACAAAGGTTCTGTTGCTAAATAGTCTGGATTTTAATTGCTTTTAGACAGTCAAGGGAATCTGCAGAAAAGTAAAAGTGTTCCTGTTATCACGCATTGTGGGTTTCTGTTGTGCTAATACATGAATTTTCCTCTGGTGCAAAAAAACCTTCCTTTTGTGTAAGGAGTCTCCTAGCACTAGAACAAACCCCTTTCACTTACCAAAGACTCTTTTGCATTGGAAGAAGTCTCCACCATTAGTGGATCCAATCCTCTCTAATTAGAAATTTTAGAGGCGTAGCCATGTAAGTCTGTTGCAGAAAAACAAGCAGGAATCTTGGACACCCTGAACACTAACAAATGTTATTCTAGCATAAGCTTTTGTGGACTACAGCCCACTTCTGGAATCTAGTCTATGAACGTTTATGTTGGAAAAAGAATGTGTTTGTCTTTAAGATGCTGCAAGACTCTGGTCTGTATTCACAGAACCCTGTACATAGATATGCATTACTACACATACTATGCGAGCATCAGTTATGCAGATTTACTTGCTATACAGACATAGCTGCATTCAGACATTAGAGACAAGCATCAGTTTGAGATAAGAAAAGGCAAAGTTCTTGGGCTCTTATGCTCCCCCAGTCTTATGAATGAGCCTGGACTTTGCTCTCCCCATGTGCAGCACTAAAACTGCAAATCAATCAAAAAAACTTCAATAAGCCTCATTTTTTGTGACATCCAAATGTGGTGGCAAACTAAGGTTCTAAATCAGGACTAAACTTTAGTAAACAAGAAATAAATTGTAATTTGTTAAAGTGTCTGACTGTCATATCTATTCCAGCAACCTGTTGTCATATGTACTGGTAGCTGTCTTTGTGTGGCCACCACAATCTAGTAGAATCATAGAATCACAGAGTTGGAAGGGGCCATATAGGCCATCTAGTAGTACAACCTCCTGCTCAATGTAGGATCAGCCTGAGCATCCCTGACAAGTGTTTGTCCAGCCGCTGCTTAAAGACTGCCAGTGAGGGGGAGCTCACACCACCTCCACAATTAGTTGTGAAGTACCAAATGCCTTCCTTTTTCCTCATCCTGAATCTACTGCCCATGGATTTCATTGGGTGCCTCTGAATTCTAGCATTATGAGAGAGGGAGAAAAAGTTCTCTCTATTCTCTTTCTCTACCCCATACATAATTTTATGCCCCCTTTAGTCATCCTTTTTCAGTTCAGTTTATTTAAATACATGATGGGTTTGAAAAGCATTAATGAAAAAAAAAATTAAAACTGCCACATACAATACCAAGATCAACAAAATGGAATTATGTGTCATTATAATCCAGCACCCTAAAATTCTTGCACACATTTCACAATAAGAGGGGGTTACTTATTTGAAGACTTAACCATTTTTTTTTCTAAATGGAAGATCTCCAGTCACTTTACTGGCTTTTATAATAAACTTGGAAACTGACATGTCTTAATTTCATTTTTTTCTCCCTTGGTGGAACACTTAGTGTTTCCAAGTTACTTTAGCCATGCTATTTGATCCTCATGAAATGTTGCTTTATACCAAATGGGCATGGCAGGTGGCAAATTGCTTTTAGGTAGACACAAATGCAGTCAGCAGGTAGAAATTTTGTTTGCAACTTTAAAAATCCTGCAATGTGGAATTATTGGTCATAAACAGTACAGTGCATGTTTCAGTCTCCATCCATCCCTTCCCCTGAGAACTGCTGTTATGCTAGGTATTGATTTTGTGCAGCAGATTTTATATCACACACACATTATGGTCTGCCCTTGGAGAAAAGGCTAAGGAAATTCGGTAAGAAACTGGTGGGATTCATTTTCCTCACTATCAGTGCCATCCTAAGCAGTCACTGGGCTTAGAATGATATAATATCACTTAGGATGGCACTGTAAATTGCCGAATATCACAACTGGAACCTGCCCAAATGTAGGTCATGAATCTTTTCTCTCCAACTGTACTGGTTAGTTGCTGTCAACAGGAGAAGGTCCAGCGGGTTGGTTACCCTCCTCCAACATTGGTCAAAAGTACAGTTATTAGCCTAGCTTGCTTCTCCATACATCCGATGGTTTGGCAATGATGCACTTTGAGGCACTGTTCATCTCACCCACTCCTAGTTGTCGATGAAGAAGTATCTTTTGCTTGCACTTTTGAACTATTCTCAATAAATCCAGCTAGCTAATGTAACAATATACAAGTGTGACCATATTAATTACTGTTCTTCTGACCCATATCTAGTAACGACTCCTAGCAAAATCTAGTATATGGCATGGGGGTGGTGGTGGCAGTGATGACAGTAGAAGCCATCCTTGGTGCCCTACAGAACTAAACCAAAACCAGACTCAATGGAGCTGTGAATGCAATCTTTAAAGAGCCACATACCAGCCAGCTGGTCTATGGTAGCTGGACCTTTGATTGCTAGTCATCTGACAATCAACTGTTAGCTCTACCCTTGGGGTGGGAAAGAGGAGTGGCAGAGCAGAACTGCTTTAAGGCTGCCATTGTTCCCTCTTGGACTACGCCATAGTCCCCTGGGGCTTCTTGGTAAAGGGAGGTCACTGGGTATGCTCGAGGCATGGAAAAGGCCTTTAAAGAGGCCTCAGTGAGGAGGCCAAGGTGGGTGCACCAGCTTTAACACCCAGCTCAGAAGGGAATAAAGCTAGGGGAAAATTGATGGGATACCTTCTCCATAAGAGGGCAAGGTAAAACCCTGGAGCACAACAGCCATGGCCTGGGACCTGACATGACACAAGATTAATCTGAGTACTTGTGACTTTTCAAATACATAAATCTTTAGTTCTCACAATTGTGGAAAAATAATTGGAAAGACAGAAACATCCCAAGTAGAGTTGATAGACCATTCTTCTCTTTCCCAAGGTTTTTCCCCTGAAGCTTTCCTCTCTTTCCCAGGGAATAAGTTACTTATGACCCCACTTTACCTATGTCATGAAATGTATAGGTTAAGACCAAATCATAAGCTCTAAACCAGAATTCCTGATTAAAATTCAGCTCAGACATAGCTTGACTGAGTTTTAGTAAGCACATCTACAATATGGTAATAATACATCAGCCTTTCTTCATAATGGAAAGGATTCTGAGATGATACATTTGGGGAGCTTAGGGAGAGTGCTATATCATTGTGAGATGCTACTTCCATTTTGCAAATATATATTCAAATCTACTTGTATATGTATACATAGAATCTGGGTACCTTTCTTTTACGCCAAGTTTAGATTTTTTTTTCTTGCACTGAATTCTCACTGCCCCAGTTTCTTGTGTCCTGCCCATACTCCAAGGAGCTCAGGATTCTCTCCTCCATTGTAGCCTACACACAGTCCTATGAAGTTGCCTTGCTTGAAATAGAGTGACTGTTCCATGGTCACAGAGTGATTTTCATGGCTCTATGGGGATCTGAACCAAAGTCTTCCCTGTTCATGTCCAACCCTCTAACCATTACACTATTTGTCTGTTGTGAAATATGTAGACAGGTTTGAGGTTGTTGATAGCCCCATAAGCGACCATTGCCCATTAAGACTTATACTTAACCTCAATGAAACCAGTTCCAGAATTTGCTGAAGGTATTCTTCCGAGATATAGGAGACTTAGGTGGTCAGAGGAACTAAATATTAAATTAGCTCAAACCCTTGCTAATCCAGAGATGGAATCTATGAAGGCAGTTCTTTCTTTGCCAGATAAGGACGCTATTAAAACTTTTCAAGCCATAAACGACTACCTTAAACCCTTTTTTATTAATAGCAGGCCAATTAACCCCTTACCTAATGGTAGTAACAGCTGGTATGACCAGGAATGTAAGGCGATTAAAAAAGTTAACGTCTCTAATGAGACTGGTAAGACGGAACAATTATGATCATTTGATGCCTCACCTCTTGAAACTTAGGTCTTATTATAAAAACTTAATAAAACTAAGAAAAGGGACTATGCTAAATCTTTATGGAATGAACTTGAACTCAAGGAAGGATGAAGCACGCTTCTGGGATATTGTATCCAGTGGCTTAAATAGCTCCTCCCGGCAGGCAGTGGCACATATTTTCCCCAAAATTTGGGTACAGCATTTTAGCAGGGTTTTTGGGTCTTGTGCCCCTTTTTGCCCTGTAGTGACATCCCAGCCTCAGAGATCCATCTCAGGTATCCCAGATCTCCCTGAATGGGCCCCAGTCTCAGAAAGGGAGATCAAAGGTATAATTAACTCATTGGCTTCAGGGAAGTCACCTGGGCAAGACCTGATTCTGTCAGACTTTTATAAAGCTTTTCCCACATGGTGGTCATCCATGCTAGCTACGGTTTTTACACAAATTAATGCACAGGTTTAATCCCTTCTGGTTGGAAGTTAAGTATTATTGTCCCCATTCACAAGAAAGGGGACAAAACAGACCCACGAAACTACAGACCAATAAGCCTGATAGATATAGCAGCTAAGGTTTATAGTAAATACCTGTTGTTCAAGTTGGATGACTGGGTCTTTGAGAATCACATCATCCACCCCCATCAAGCAGGGTTCAGGAAAGGTCTTTCTACAATTGACCACAGCCTTACTCTTCACCAGCTGGCTTATGCAAGCTTAAATGGTCCCACTAAGTCTCTATACGTAACGTTTGTAGACTTGGCTGCGGTGTTTGACTCCATCGATACGAATAGACTTTGGCAAAAACTGGCAGACCTGAATATTGATAAGCAGTTGCTATTCTTATTACGTGAACTGCATACAGATATTAGTGCCCAGATTAGAGTTGGAATGTCGGGGTCTCTAACTAACTATTTGTCTGTCATCTCATGTTTCATTAGTAAATCTTCTTTCTATAAAGCAAGATATGGCAACCTACCTTAATCTGACCTTTCAAACAGGGGTCACTGCACACTGATCGGACCATTCCACTTTTGTTCATCTGAATCCGATTATCATCAATATTCAATACCCCTTCGTGCCAGGTGCCAATATAAACATAGTCATAATGCTGATACCCTATGTGCTGCAGGTTCATGATGTCGTACCTGAAGAACAAATCAGATTGATGGATGCCAAGTTATATATTTCCAAAATGATTAGGTCTCTCACTCCACTCCTACTGCATATTCAATATGGAAAATTCTGCCTATCCCCAACAACATGGAACCCCAACAAGATGGAAAACTCTGCCTATCCCCAACAACATTCAATATCACAGACAGATGCTGATTAGTAAATCTTCTTTCTATAAAGCAAGATATGGCAACCTACCTTAATCTGACCTTTCAAACAGGGGTCACTGCACACTGATCGGACCATTCCGATCGGACCATTGTTCTAGCCACTGCTTCCTTCCAATTTGCTGAATCAGTTTTGGACAGTTAAGTCTTTGGCCATAAAAGCAAACTAGATGACTAAAGAGGGTATCAGATTCCAAGTACAAGTGCTTTATCCAATCACCTATGTGACTGGGGAGAGAGCTGTTCAGTGGTGGTCCTTTGGACTTAAAGATTTATTTAAAATATTTATGTCTTGCATTCTCAACCAGTAATTTCCAAGGCAGTATTATTATTTCTAGATCCTAATGAGGAATTAAAAAGGTAAAGGTTCCCTTGCTCAAAAGCCAGTCGAGTCCGACTCTAGGGCTGCAGTGCTCATCTCCGTTTCAAAGCCGAAGAGCCAGCGCTGTCCGAAGACATTTCCGTGGTCATGTGGCTGGCATGACTAAACACCAAGGCGCACGGAATGCTGTTACCTTCCCACCGAAGCGGTACCTATTTATCTACTTGCAATTTCTTGCTTTCAAACTGCTAGTTGGCAGGAGCTGGAACTAGAGATGGGAGCTCACTCCATCATGCGGCACACCCGGGTCTCGAACTGCTGAACTACCGACCTTCCACAGCCTGCAGTTCAGCGTCTTAACCACTTGAGCCACTGCAGCTCCTAATGAGGAATTAATAGTTATCTGTTTTTTCAAAGTCTAAGCAAAATGGGGATTCTGGTGTGCATTAGTGGTGGCGGTCAGGATTCTGTCTTTGGGTTAGATTAACTAGTGTGATGCAAAATAATGCAATAGCTACAATTAAAGTTCATTGTTCAATCTACACTGGTTGCACGTGAACTTGTGGGCCCAATTCAAGGTTGGTAGCACAGAAAGAAGGCACAAGATGTGCCATAATTTCACAGCCTGTAACCATGATGTCTTGTGGGGCAGAGAAAACAATGCAATTTTTTTTAAAAGATCTTATGAAGTAAGAAATGAGGGAAAGTGACATAAATACAGGTACGGTTTGCTTGTGCTGGGCAAAGCACACATTAATCAGCTAATTAGTGCTCACTTCATTACTCGTAACCTTTCTTTCTCAGTTTCTGTGCTCATTTTGATTCAGTCACCATCAGGAGGAATGTCAAATGCCATGCCCCCAGCCCCACTCTCTAACAATGTAATGTAATTGTATCCTGGGCCTATCTTAGCCTTCCCCCCCCCCCATCACTCCAGGAAGACCATATCCCTCAGGGATACAAAAATGACTGTAACTAATCTTTTACTTTTGTCCCAGCTCTGCCATGGCGGGCCATAGCCAAGCTGCCCCTGTGGCCTTGAAGCCTGCCATAAGCCCCTGTCTCAGTCCAGGCCCCGCACTCACCAGAAGGAGAAAATTGCCGATGGGCAACGCGGGGAGACTGGGGGTCGGTGAAACTAACCATGCAGGCACGGCATGCTGGTGGCCCAGCGCCCTCGGTCCCTTCAATGCCGCAGCCTCAGCCATGCCACTCCCCGGCAGCAGGATTGTGCATTCTACCATGCCCCCGAGACCATCGCCTGGGCCTGGCAAGTCCCCTGGGTGCCAAGAGGCCAGTTGATGAAGGGGAAACTCTGGTCTGGAACAGGGAAGCACCTGCCAACTCCTCTCAGGACAACACAGAAATGCCCACACTTGGTGGGCCCAAAGGGTGTCAGCAGTAAAGAAGAGGGGCAGGGCTACAAGGGGGTGGGCTGAGGAGGAGGAGTGGGGAGAGGGGTAGGGGATGGTCAAGGAGGACAGGAGACTGGAAGCTCAGTCTGCTGCATGACAGAAAGAGGGAAGCAGCAGGAGCCCCAGCTGGGCAGGAGGAGGGTGGTGAAGTAACCTCCTCCCCTGGCCCTTATCTGAGACCTCTGGAGGCTTCCCCATGGGGGGGGAGGGGCAGCAATCCAAGGGGGTTATAAGACAGAGGTCACGGCATCTGGCAGAAAGGCCCCAGTAGTGGAGGCAGCTTCTGACAACTTTATTTAAAGATTTTCACTAAACGGAAGAAATAGAAAGACTCTCAGTCTTATAATAGGAGGTCGGGGATGGTCAGTTAACCAGTTTCAGATACTTAGATGGGAAACCTGTTACCCTTTTCCAATTTGTTTCCCAAAAGACAGCCCTTTGCCTGCTTCACTACAGGCCTGGCATTACATCAGAGCATCAAGTTCCTGAGCAAAAGACAAACCTGCAACTTGATGGGAATGCATACAGACCATGTTTAGAGTGTGTGGGTGGGGATGCAATTTAAAATGCTAAAAGCAGTAGAGGTGATGGCCATGAGCACCGAGATGGCTTGAAAGATGGCTAGACAAATTCATGGGAGAAGTCCATCAACTGCTACTGTGTGTAGGGTTGCTCCACTCCCCAAATCTCCAGGCATTTCCCAACCCAGAATTGGCAGCTTTATGGTCACTAAAGGGAACCTCCACCTTCAAAGGCAGTAAACCTCCAAAACTCAGTGCTAAGAGGCAACATCAGAGGGAATGCCTTGGCCTCTGTGCCATGTGGTGGGCCACTGTGTGAAACTAGGATCTAGCATTTAGTATGCTGATCTAAATAGACCACTGGTCTGATCTGACAGGGCTGTTCTTATATCCTTGGGTTCTTAAAAGGCACATGTAGTGCTGAACCCTTCTCTTGCTTGTCTTCTTTCTCCTTTCATTAATCCCTCCAATCACTTTTATCCCTGCCAGGCTCACTTCCAGTATCAGAGCATGGTTGCTAGAAGGGTTTTTTTTTGGGGGGGGGGGTTGCAAGACTTTATGAGAAGGAAGCCACAGGAAGGAAAAGTTTCAATAACCCCCACCCCACCCTTTTGCCCCTTTAAATTGTGTTCTACTCCTTCTTTTACACGTGAATGGCGCAGAACAGCATTTAAAGCCATAAATCTGCAATATGCATGACCATCCTTTTCCCACGAGCCCTTTCCCTTCTGCCCTCTTTCCTGTAGGTGTTATGTCTTCGGATACTGTCTGACGCCAGCCAGAGGCAGCTAGAGCTTCAATCCAGAAGACAATAGGGACTAGGCTCCTGAACTACAAGTAAGGAGCCAATAGGGACATTGGCGGGGAGTTCAAACCCGCAAATAGGACTTAGGGGTGTCCCTCCACAATGATATAAAGTTGGCCATCCGGCCGTTAGTTTCTGTTCCATGTGTTAAGTACTAATAAACGCATCTTATCAGATGTCGTGGTCCACATCCTGATGTATCGAACCCAGTACTTTTCAGTAGGGGAGCTGGAAGCCACTCCTTGGTTTGCCAGAAGAGCCACTTATCTCTGTCAAACATGCAGAGGCCCAAACAGTATTTGCCGTGATTTAAGGACGTTTCATGTGATGCAGTCACAGAATCCTTGACATAAATTAATCACAGAGTTGCATTTAATTATGAATGAAAGGCAGCTTTGCAAGCATCTCATGACCACTTAGCAATCGGGGTGGAAAATCTGCTGCTCACCAGCTCAAAGGAAGTAGAATAGGCTAGCCCAAGACAAATGCAAAGTTACCACCTGTGGCTGCTGAAGACAATCCAATTGCACCCTCTTCCCACAGTCCTTGGTCCCAGCTTCCTTGCTCACTGAGACATATTAGCATTAAACTGCAGAAGTCTTTTGGTGCCACTTTGGCAAAAGAAATTATTGAGAGTAATAATTTCAAGCTGGGGGAAGAAGAAGTAGGACTGAAGGAGCAAACTGAGGGAAGGAGGAGGGACCACCACTGAGTCTGTTTTAGACAGACAAACTGGCTGTTGAGAAAGCAAAAGGGAGAAGAAAAGGTTCTTGTGGGTGGCAGGCAGCAGAGTGTTTTTATTCAGAATGAGAAGAAAGCTCCTGCTGGAAACTGTGATTTTTGTCCGGAAATTGCAAGAGGCATAGTTCTTCCTGGGCAGCTACATGGCCTATCTGCTTGGTGATTTCAGGTGAGGCCGTTTTTCCTCCCTGTCACATCCCAGTGCCTTGCTTGAAATGGAGTGACTTGGGAGAAAAAAGAGCAGACAAGCATTTGTGCCCTGAATAATAATGACAAATATGCAAAGCACAGTGATTCTGAGGAGGCAAAAGACAATGTTTTCAATCTCCCCCCTCACCTGATGTTGAAATAAGATAACTCCTTTCCCCCTTGACAATCAAACATTATCTTTTATTGCCCAGGCAAGCAGAGCTCTGATTCAAATCAGGACTCCTAGGAAATGGGGACAGGGAGATTCAGCATTCCTCCCTGGCCCGAAACAGCCTTGGGGAAAAGCTGTTCACCCTCTTTGGGGAAACTTACCTGCAGACATCAGTACACATAGGTTTTCCCAGTATGGCAAACAGCAGCTCACTTAGGTTTGAATGTTTAAAGAATGCTAAGTTTCACTTCAGCTCCAAAGCCTGGAACTTTCATTTCTCCACAGTCATCTATAACCTTCCTTTAGCCATTTAATAATGCTTTTCCCCCCAAAGCACCAATATAAAATATGCATACATTATGCATGCCATGAAAAGATCATCCTGCATCTCTCCCCATCCTTACTACTCTCTTTAGTGTTTGCTTCTTAGTTATTTAAGTTATCTTATTATAAGATAGATACAAGTGGGCAGCCATGTTGGTCCGAAGCAGCAGAAAAAAGTTTAAGCCCAGTGGCACCTTTAAGACCAACAATTTTTTTTTCAAGGTATAAGCTTTTGTGTGCATGCACACATCTTCAGATACACTGAAATGGAAGTTACCAGCCCATACATATAGACAGGGCTATTTTGGGGCAGGAA